ACAGGGCCACAAGTCAGTTCGACTCTCTCTTCCCACGTTATTCAAGACTGTCAAGTTGTCAATTATAGCAAACCATTGCAAGGAGCCTTGACATTCCTTATGAATTTTAGGATGTCTTGCCATTTCTGAAGAATGACAGTTGCAATTGTGACAGGCTGGTTCTGAATCTGTAGGACACTCTATTGTGTGTATCACATCATTCTTCCTGAACATGCACTATCTGTTCAATACTTTAGCTCTCTTTTAATTTCATTCTACAATAGTTTGTAGTATTCAGTGTGTAAGATTTTTTGTTTGCTTGCTTGTAGCTATTGTTGCATGTTTTAAGACTGAGTCTCTCTACATAGCTCTGGCTATCCTAGAACTAGTTAGATCAGACTGGCCTCAAACTCACAGAGATAGATCTCTGCCGGCCTTTGCCTCCCAAGTGCTGGTTATTAAAGGCCTGTATCTCCATGCCCAATACAGTGTGCCATTATATGCCATTTTTGGTTAAAAATAGTCTGTCTCTTTCCCTTCTCTTCTCTCCTCTCTGTCTCTGTCTCTGTCTCTGTCTCTCTCTCTCTCTCTCTGTCTCTCTCTCTGTCTCTCCCTCTCTCTCTCTGTCTCTCTCTCTGTCTCTCTCTCCCTCTCTCTCTCTCTCTCTCTTTCTCTCTCTCTCTCTCTCTCTGTGTGTGTGTGTTTATGTGTGTGTTGGGGTGTTAGATCTGAGTGTTCAGCATTTGCAATTGCTAAACTCCTTAAGGTAGCTGCTACTGATCCAAAGAACCTCCAATTTACTATCTCCAGAGAGTAGGATTCAGAAAGGTCAGCTGCCTGGTGATATGATGGGAACAGACTCAGGGATGCAATTGCTTCCCAGTTTGCTTGGTATCAGTGCTCTACACTCGGGACTTTCCTGCCAGTGCAGAGGTCTGCTGCTGCCAAGTCCCAGCGTTATGCTTCCCGGTTCTATCTATTAGTCAGCTGATGCTCATCCCCTGATGGCAGATTTATCTAGCTGCTCCTTGAAGCTCTTACAATTTTTGCTTTAAATATTTATTAGATATCTATTAATTTAGAACTATATTATTTATCCAATGAATTTAACTTCTATTTTTATTTTTTAATTCTTACATGTATATGATATAATATATAATATACATATCATGTATATAATGAATTTCAGTCAGTGTCATCTCACTCGCCTCTTTCATGCCCCTCCTCCTTCTCAGCAAGTTTCTGTGCAATTTCCAGGTCTTCTTTTTGATGTGTGACCCACTGTGTATAGTTATGGTTACTTGCATAAGCCCTTGTAGGAGGTTATTTACTGGGGTAAGAGCAACTTATCAGTGCCTACACTACTGAAGAAAATTACTCCTGTCTCCCCCAGCAACTATTAGCTGCCAGTAGCCCATCAGGGACAGGCGGGACCTCATAAGTACTTCCACCATCCAAGATGAAATGTTGAAGAGCTCACTCTTGTGCAGCAACCCCAGCTGCTGAGAGTTTATGGGTACAACAGCTGTGTCATGTCCAGAAGACAAAGGTTTATAGCACTCCTCCCTAGCTCCTCCTGGCTCTTACATTTGTATGTATCTTCCAGAGATTCCGATCTCTCTCTTGATGGGTCTAATTTGTTATTTAACCCCTTATTTTGAAAACATATTCATTTGGCCATTGAAAATTTTTTCTGTTCTCCTTAATGATCTCATGCTGCTTACTTACCTTAAACTTCCTGCTTTGCATAAAGGAGTATGTGGAGCCCTAAAACCGCCGAGTCTGATTGTAGGTTACTTCTGCTGAACCTCACTTGTTGTACCTAGCATCTTTCTTGTGCTGGTGATCTCTGATTGACAGCTCCTTGGTCAGTGTTGACTAATGGGAGTCCTGCAGGAACAGATTCAGATACTTTCCTCCATAGACTCACACACAGTTCTGTCAAAGGATGTCATCAACATGAACTATTTTGGCTCTCCTAGGTACATGTAGTTGTTCCACAGTCAGCCCCTACCCTCCCTGCTGGTCCTGCTCCTGCTTTGTCCTTATTCTCCCTTGTAAGGAAAGTAATCTTGGCAGCCAACAAGGCCTCAAAGAATCACGGTATCTCTCTAGGATTTGTTTGTACAGAGTTGCAGTATGTTGCCCAAGCTGCTCTTCAGCACTGGGCTTAAGTCATGCTTATGTCTCAAGTAGCTGGAGTCACAGATGAGCTCTACCATGCCTGGCTTAGGGTATTAGTTTTTGGTAACAGAAGGGTTCCTCATTGCTTCAAGTCCAGCACATCGTAAGGATCAGAAATGCCACGGTGCATTCCACCTAGGAGTCTTCCTGGATTTTGAGACAGTATCTCATGAAGCCCAGGCTGACTTTAGACTCACTATGTAGCCAAAGATGATCTTGAAGAACTCCTGATCTTTCTGCCATGCTACCTCCCAAGTGCTGGAATTACAGGACTACATCACCATGCTTGGCCCTTAGAGACACTCTTTTGACATGGAAATCCAGTAACATTACACATCTGCTTAAACCTGCTGATGACTTCTCTTGTCTTTATGTGCAAACTCTAAACTCAGGATACAAAACTTCCTGCCACCCCCATGATCTGGTCCCTAATTCTCACATTAGCCCATATCTTCCGATGATTCCCTTCTCTCTCCCACCCCCAACACCCAGGATCCTAGGTCCAGGCTAAAGTTGCTGGGTGAGCTTCCAGAGTATCCCATACTTCCCTTATTTGGGTGCCTTTCATTCAGTGCCAGAGTCAGCGGTGAACCTCATCCCCTACACACCCCCACCTCCCAAGCTGTACTTCATGAACAGAGAGATAATGTCTTGAGCACTGACATATCATCCCCCCCACATTAGGTGGAATTAAATGACCAAATGGGCATCTGCTGGGCTCCCAGTGTTTTCTTGTTGATTGTTATGAATTATTGATATGCTAAAAATGTGGCCACTTTGCCATTGGCTGAGCATGTTCTAGCTTATGTGCCTTATAACTTTTGCCATGGGTGATGAGAGTGAGAGAGGGCTTGGAAAAGTTTTCAGTATTAAGAACAACAGATCAGTTGATTATCTTCTATTTCTACCCTATCCAATGCTTCAAGATTGACCAAGTCTCTCTCACTGGAAATTCGATGAGGATTTTCTGATGACAGCAACATGCCACTCTCTTGCTAATAGAATGAATGAATGAGTGAGTGAATAAATAGATGGATGGATGGATGGATGAATGAATGAATGAATGAATGAAACAAATGTTAACAGTGCTCCTAGAGCATTTAGAATGAATTCCAAATTCTTTAGCTTGGCCTCTGAGGCTCCAAGCCTTATACCCTCTTCCCAGCCTTTTCTGGATGATTCCACATTCATCCTCAAGCTCCAGTCGGGTTGAAGGTTCTGCCTCTCTCTGGATGTGTCTGCTTTGGCCACTCCAAAACCTGCTGGTCCCTCTGCCTAAAATGTCCCTTTTATACTTTGACTATTGCATAATTCCTCAAGCTGCCCTGTTTGTAAAAAGCCTCTATTTCAGCACCCAGGAGTGGAGACAGGAGTGTCGCCATGAGGTCGAGGCCAGCCAGGTTTCGTAGTAAGACTCTGTTCCAGAAAAACAAGAAATTTGGGTGGATGAGATGGCTTAGTGGGTTAAGGATGCCTGCTGATAAGCCTGACAACCTGAGTTCAATCCCTGAGACCCACGGGTGGAAGGGAAGAACTAACTCTCACGAGTAGTTCTCTGACATGAATGCTATGGCCTATGCATGTCCCCTCCAAACTAAATAAATGTGAGAACAGAGCAAAAACAGACAGAGCTTGGGATGTAGCTCAGTTGGTTGAGGGCTCACCAAAATACATGAAGCCCTAAATTAAATTCTCAGCACACATAAACTGGATTTGGTGGCACATGCCTGCAGTCCCAGCACTGCAGGAATTCAAGGTCATCCTCAACTACCTAGCTAGTTGGAGGCTAGCCTAGGCTACGTAAAACCTTTCTCAAAAGCACACAAATCTCACCTATCCCTTTTTCTGGAAAGGTTAACAGTGGAGAGATGAGAAAGTGAACTTGGAAGTCAGGCCCAAGTGTCTCCACTTGTTTGCTATTGGCCATATCCTTTAGCCTCCACGGTATTTTTATCCCAAACTCCTTCTCCTGCGAAAGATGAAACTCAGGTCTTATGCTTGCTAGGCAGGTGCTATGCCACAGTCCCCACCCCCAGTCCCCAGTTCCCCTCTTTAAGTTAGGAACCTAGTCAGGAGGCAGAAGCAGATATCTGTGTTTGAGGTCAGTCTGGTCCATAGAGTGAGTTCTAAGATAGCTAGGTCTACACAGAGAAACCCTGTAAAAATAAAATAAAATGGGAACAGAAAGCAACAAGGACCATATTCGATGGATGTGACATCCTATGTTAGCAGGTCAGTGCTGACCCCCACATTCCTTCATATGGAGTCTTCCACTCCGGGTCATATTTTCTCATAGTTGTGTGGTTCCCTGAAGGTCTAAATGGCTCTCAAACTCCTCAGGTGGCTGAGCTTTCCTGCTGGGTAGATTCGAGTGACCAAACAGGTTTCCTCTCTCGGAACCAGCCCAGGCCCCAGGGGCACCTGGATGCATTTTCACACACTTATTTGGCCTAAAATAACTCCCTTCTTCCTCTCTCTGCCTGAACTCCAGTGGCTTCCTCAGTCTTTAAATGAAATCTCCAAAGAAGTTCATCAATGCCCAATGCCCCCAGCCATACAACGAGGAATTAGATAAATAGTTCTCAATCTGTGGGTTGAGACCCCACAGAGGTAGAATATCAGATATCCTGCATATCAGATATTTACATTATGACTCATAACGTAGTAAAATTATAGTTATAAAGTAGCTAGGAAATAGTTTTATGGTTGGGGGACACCATGAGGAACTGTGTTAAAGGGTCACAGCATTAGGAAGGTTGAGAATCACTGAATTAAATGAAAGATAACCCTACTCCATTTTAATGTGGGTGAACTGAGTCTCAAATTAGCATTGCTGTAGTTGGGTCTGGAGCTTATGTGTTTTCAAAGCCAGAGAAAAGGATTTTTTCATGAGGTCCTGGGCATGGGGCGTACTAGGGAGGGGACAAAGTCTGAACCACAGAGTGGTAGATGTGGGGGTTGGAGGGGTCTTGACTCTCCGAGCCTCTCCCTTGGTCTATAAAGCAGCTGATGGCACACTCTCAGAGGCCACTCTGGCACTCTATCTATTGTTTTGTGACCATATACAGATCACCATATACCAGAGGCCATCTTGCCTGAGGAAGAGCAAAGATGATATGTGACTCCAAGGCTGAGGGTAAGGGCTCCCTGGATCACAGAAGTGAGAGTTTAGCATCCAGAGGTCGGGTTCAGTTTTAGGCCTAAGTCAGCATGCTGTGTCCATTTAGGCAAACACACCTGCCCCTAGCACCCCAACTGTCCTAGCAATAAAATAGTCTGAGGGATGGAAAGATCTATGCCAGCATGATCTTCACATACTTAGAATTCTCCAAGAGCTGTTCCTCACCCAGCCCTGCCTGAGCCCTGACTGTCTGTCCCCAGGGTCTGACTTCATCATTGGCTTGCCCAAGTCTTTGACACCATACAGCCGCCTCCACCAGCCATCCAGCCTTTCTGTAGAATCCTGGCCAGACTTCAGAGTCCTGTGGATCAGGGGCTGCAGGCAATCTTCTCTGTCTGCCCCGGGGGACACAGGGAGTGGGGTGTCCAGGCCTGTGTTTGAACGCCCAGTCTCTTCTCTCTCCTGCCTGGAGCCAGCATCCTTTCCTCCCTCCCTGGTGAAATCTGAGCTCAGGGATCCAGGGAGAATTCTGGCAGCAGAACATTCCATCCAGTTGTCCAAACACTGCACAGCTGGCGGAGGGAGGGGCAGCCTGGAGCAGTCAGGAGCCCAGAGATTGTGTTGTTTTCATGGAAATGAGGGAGACCTTGCTGGGGAGTAGCGGCACCCAATGGGTTCAAACCCTGGCTGCCTGGAAAGGCACATAGGACAAGGAAGACAAAGCAGTCCCCTCTGCTCACACCGTCTGGGGCCTGCTTGCCCAAGGTCATCCTGTGGAACTCCTGCAAAAGGAGATTCATCTACCTCAGAGCCTGCCCAGCCAGGTCTGGGCAGCTACCTCTCGCCTCGGGAGTCTCCTCCTCGTGACTAGACTCCAGGCTCAACCTCAAGCAATAGGGGGAGGGCAGGCAGGGATGAGTATGAAATAGCAAGCCCCAAGAGAGACGCTAGACAACAGCTCTGTTGCCAGCTGGCTCATTCTCAACTGTCTCCCAGTACCCTCGTCAGTGACCCTGAATGACTCTTCAAGCCTCAGTTTCCTGATTTGCAAGAGAAGGTTGACCCCTTATTGACTGGCAAAGGTCTTCACAGATCCTCCCTTCTAAGCAAATGCCCAGAAAGTAGCTTATTTGTGTGTGTGTGTGTGTCTCAGTACCTCTGACTCAGTTTCCCCACTGAGCACCCCCAATGCCTTTTACCACCATCCAGGTCCAGTTGCATCAGGGTGGTAGGAGATGCACCCCCTTTCTGCACATCCTGTTTTCTGCTAATGGTTTCCAGGTGAGCCCTTGGTTGCCCTGCAGAGGAAGGTGGGGGCACTAGAGAATTTAGTAGGGGATGATCGAGGAGCAAAAACAGGAAGGGGGTGGGAGCAGGCCATGGAAAATTCACAGCCAGGAAACCCTCCGACAGCATCTGGCTTGCATTAGGCTGAGCAGGCTTCATAGCCCAGAGCTCAGCAGAGATACTGTTATCCGCTGGCCGGTGGCAGGCTGGGAGGGGCGGGGTGCTGGTGGAGAGGGGCTCAGAAGGACCCAGAGGCTGACCAGAGACAATAGTGAAAGTAGAGGAGAAAGGGGTTAGGAGGAGCTCCTGTGACACCAGGGCACACAGACCTTCTGTGGAGGGTGCTGTCTTCCATAGGGGAGAATAGTTCCTATTTCTAAGGGGCTGACCCCAGAGAGGTTAAGTGACTTGTCCAAGGTCACACAACCAAAAAAGAAATCTTTTCCTTTTTGAAGGCAGAAAATGGGATGGAAGTTGAAGTTAGTGTGAGGATTGGGTGTGTGATAGCTCAGTATTTGTTTATCTTGCATGCACAAGGCTCTGGCTTCAATCCCCCTCACCACCACAACTACCCTGCTCAGGAAAAAAGAAAACGTGGGAAACAATGTTTGGAAAGAAAGGGCAATTTGAGGTGTATCTGAGTGACAACAGTTGGCAGGATGTGCTTCAGAGGCTAAGAATCCTGTTTATGGGCTGGGGAAACTGAGATACAGAATGGCTGAAGTGATGTTGAATTGTCCTTTGGTGATGGTAGTTAATGAGCTTAAGGGACTAGCTACTGAGTGTCTGTACAAAAGCAAATAACCAGCCAGCTCATAATAGAACCAGGCTGGACAGGCTCTGCCGAGGAGGACAGGACACAGGCGGTCTCTCCAGGGATCTTGTTGAAGTTCAGGGCATCAGCATGCGGGATAGCTTCTCTCCTGTTCTCAGGTATATCTTGTCCAGCTCATAGCCCACAACCCAGGAAGGAGGCCCATGTCTTCCGCTGCCCGCTGAGCCTCAGGAGTTAATAATTAAGGGTTTAAGAAGATAGAAGCCCGTCTGGGAGGCCCCGCCCGGCCGCTGTGCTGCTGCTCCTGAGAGATAGCAAAGGTTAGTGTGAGGCTCTGCCTGAAGTGGAGGCAGGTTTTGCCGCTGGACCTCCTGGTGGTCTCCAAAGGGACCTCAGCCTGGACCCAGACATGGAAGCCCCTGGGGAGCCCAGGCAGTGCCCTGCCCGAGGGTCATGCCCGGTGTTCTTGGCCATGAGCTCAGGCACTGTCCGCTATGCTCCATCAGGTTTGGGTCCTGTACCTGAGAGGAACTTTAGAGAGGAGACCTGGGATGCAAACAGGTGAGCTGAGGTCTTGGGACCCTGAGGGGAGGCGAGGGATGGGTCTTGACACTCTGTAGGGACTTTGAGGGTCGGAAGCTGGCTTGAAACAATGGGATGTTTTGAATTGGGAAGAATCCAGGAGCTTCATACAGAGTGGGCACTCAGACACTCTGATTGTCTGGTCCAACTTGAGGTTTAGACTAAGGTAGAAACTGAAGGTCAGAGAGACCAAGACGCTCATCCTAGGTTACAACTAGAAACAGATGTAACTCCAGAATCTGAGACTGATTCAGATTCAAGTCCCATATGCCTTCAGCCTCAGTCTAGTGTCTGTGTTGAGCTGGGGGAGGGGAGAGTGGACAGGGAGCTAGTGGTATGGAAGGAGGGAGGATGAGGCTTTTGGTGGTTTGTCACTCTAGGCATAACTTTAATTTTTTTCCTCCCCACTGGCTGGGCCTGGCACCTAGTAGGCATTCAGTAACCTTCTGAAGGCTGGCTGTACCGAGACACAGCTTCCACCAGAACCAGTGGCTCCGGGTTGTCCCTAGGACCTCCCCTCCCCTGGATCTTGTGACATAAAGCAGGTTCTTTAACTTCTCTGAGGCCATCCCTTTCCAGTGGCACAGCAGGGTCCCCTGTGCTGCTGAGAGGAAGCCCTGTGGCTTGGAAGTTCACAGAGTCTAGATGCATAAATGACAAGATATTTTTGGTTAGTAATTGCATGTCGTCAGTGGTCAATGCTCTTAGGGTGGTGACCACACACTTGTCCCTGGAGGCCTCCCTTAAGGGCTCCTAGGATGAGGCCTCTTCTCCGGGAACCTTCCCCTTTGCTGACACCTCCCTTTGTCTCTCACTAATCCCACTGACAGAATTTATCTTTTCCCTGGCTTTTAAAGACTTGGAAGGCAAAGGCCCTGTCTTAGACTCTTTTAGTCTCATCTTTTCCTTCTTCCCCTAGGTGGTGACCAGAGCAAGGGACAGGAAAAGAGCATTTGCTCAAGGCTTAGCTGGTGAAAGGCTCAAGTTAACAAAAATATGTTGATATCTGCTTTGGCCAGACCCTAAGCTGGGCTGGGCTGGGTGGAGGAACATACCCCAAGAAGGGGTTAGTCTTTGGTCAGGAGAAGCCATAGCCTGGTAAATAACCACCCTATAGTGAGGAAAGGACATAGAAGACCTGGGCTGAGAGATTGTCAGATGAAAAGGATGCTATGGAGAGCTGTCTAGGTTCTCCATAGCAGAAGATGCCAGCCACGGGCAAAGACATGGGTTCCAGTCACCAAGTCCTTGTTCCTATAAGCTGGGAAAGGAGTATCTTCTCTTTTGAAAAATACTTTATTATGTGTGTATGTCCATTTTGGATTTGTACACATTCATGCAGGTGTCCACAGAGACCAGAAGAAGGCATAGGATTACCTACAGGCGGAGTCAGAACTTTCAATTGCCTGATATGGGTGCTGGGAACCACATTTGGGTCCTCTGCAAGAGTAATGCATGCCCTTACTGACTGAGCCATCTCCAGCCTAACTCTTTCTGTTTCGTTTCGTTTTGTTTTGGGTTGGGGAGGGCTTTCTTTTGTTGCTGTGGGGTTTTGTTTTATTTTGTTTTGTTTTGTTTTGTTTTTTTTGGCTTTTTGAGACAGGTTTTCTCTGTGTAACAGTCCTAGCTGTCCTGGAACTCACTTTGTAGAGCAGGCTGGTCTCGAACTCAGAGATCTGCATGCCTTTGCCTCTGGAGTGCTGGGATTAAAGGTGTGTGCCACCACCCCCTGGCTTTCTTTTCTGATTTGAAAAGAGACACTATTAGTTGGTAAAGATGGGTCCCAGGCAAGTCAAGGCTCTGGCAGTAGAGGCCCTTTAATGCAGGTCTCCCATTCTCCTGCCATTTACCATACCCAGATGCCATAAGCCAAGCATGTGGTCATAGCCTCTGAAGAAGTTGAGGAAGTATCAGTTCAGCCCAGAATCTGGAGACCAACCTAGGTAGTATATGACCCACACCCACAGAGAAGAGGGGGCTAAGGGAAAGGAGAGAGGGAGGTAGGGGATCCAGCCTGGAGGATCTCTTGGTTTCATGTGGTCCTTAGCAGTACAGAAGGGGCAGCTGAATGCCTGTTTGTGTGGATGAATGAGTGAGATGTGTTCTTTAAAACCCAGAGAGCACTGTAGACCCTGCCTATGGGAGCTAGTTCTAGTAGTATTCAAGGAGGGGTTGACTGTGGGCTCTACTTATTGGATCCTGATCTGAGGTTGAACTTCATTCAGGTCAGTGGTTAGAGCCAGGATAAAAGGAGGGCATAGGAGGGACAGGTGACTAGTGGCCAGGGATGCAAGCTTTTTACAGACCTTTCTTTTAAGTACCTGGGACAGACAGGTGCTAGCGAGGCTGGCAGAGTAGTCTCCAGAGTTTAGGATGGCTCAAAAGGCTGGGATGAACAGAGTATTCAGAGATACTAGAGGAGGGAATTGGAAACAGGGCTGGTAGGATTGGGCCAAAGTAGCGCTCTCTTAGTTTAAACCACTCAACTAATGATACTTGTTTAGGGTCTGCCCCGCCCCCTTCCCAGAAGCCCAGTGTCACTCAGGGATTGATGCCAAGCTAGGAGCTCCAGAGACTGGCAACAGGGCTAGAAGTCTGAATGAGGGTGCAGGAGCTGTTTGTCACTTTGAGTGACAATCTGTGCGAGAAACAGAGCTGAGACACCCGAGAGCCATTGTAGGTTCTCAAGCAAGGGTGGTCGAAAAGTGCAAGTGATAGAGAAAGGCGAAGGCCAGCTCTGGATGTAGGATGATGGGACCAGTCCCGTTCTGGCTCCGGAGGGTCATTGTCCCCATGCAGCCAGAGGGACAGGGCTGGGCCGGCAGAGGGGGCGGGGCCGGGCACGTGGCCTGGGGGGGCCCGCCTCTCGGACACGTGACCCGCCCAGGGCAGGGGAAGGGCTCCGGTGGGGCGGAGCCGCAAACCCTAGGGCCAGCGGGACAGACTGGCGGTGGAGCGATTGACAGGCGGCAGGGCAGCTCTGGGGCCCCGGCAGAGTTGGCAGCGCGCGTGGACGCGGCTGCGGCGGAGACGCCGGGATGTGGAGCGGGTAGGTCCCAGCACGCCGGTGGCTCTGCGCTCGGTCTGGGCCGCGCTGGCCTCCTAGGATGGGAGAACAGGGGCTCATTGCCGTTGTTTGCACCCCACTTGGGAGACAATCTGTACTCTCAGCCCTGCCTGCAGCGGCGTGGTGCATTGTAGCATGAGGACACACTGCAGCCCCAGAGCTGAAAGGACCTTGGCAGGACGGATCTGAATTGCCCCAGGGTGGGAAGGGTGACCCCTCCAACTCCTAGCTCCAATGGAGCGCATGAGAGAAGTGGTCGTGGCGGGGGGGGCAGGTGCGGGGGGGACGATGAGTAGTTGTATGTATACCTCAAAAGTAAGTCTGGGGCACGTATTTAAAGGAGGGAACACCCTTGAACTCTGGGGCAGCAGTGCACTTGAGAAAGCTAGCTGTGTCTCTCCAAGGTCTCTGGCTAGTTGACTGGAACCTTCTGATTCAAGATGTGAGGTGGGTGGCACCTTCTCGCAGTCTGGAGGGGGATAGGCACAGACCCTGAGTCCTGAGTGAACCCCTTTCCCACCCCTCATTTGGAGCCAGAACGGGACTGGTCCCATCATCCTGCATCCAGAGCTGGCCATCAGTTCTTAAGGCTGACTCCTGGTCTGGCCAAGACCCTGCTCCGTGTTCACATAAGGTTGATGTCCTTTCTTGAATTTAGGCAAATGCCTTCTCCTTCTCGGGCTGCAAAGACTAGGTCTTGCCGGTGTTCCTACTAAGGACTGTTTCAGGATAGGCAGAGGACAGGGGAAAGAGGAAAGCCCTGGAGAGGGGAACAAGTGAGATCTATTTACTCTTATGGACCCCAGCTGAGTTTGAACTGAAATGCTAGGGGAGCTGTGGGGCTTCAGCCCCAGTCAGGGCATCAGAACTGAGCTCCTGTGAGGTGTGGACAGGCGTGATCTTTTAGAGGGAGCAGAAGCCAGCCTGTGTTAAGAGGCTAGCTAAGCTTGGGAAGTGTTTTGGGTGGGTTCCTGGTGCCTGCCTCAGGTTGAAGCAATTCGGCTTGGGGATATGTGTGCCTGGGGCTGTGTGAGGAGCAGCCTGGTCTGAAGGAATCTGTGGGCCTTTCCGCTGGGTGGACTTGACAATTGCTGTATGACCCTTAGGATAACAACTCCTCTTCTCTGGGCTGGAGCCAGCTTGAGCACTTTAGGGGAGGGTGGGTCAGAGATGTCAGGTGTCCTGTCTCTCGCCACTGTATTCCCAAGTCTCTCGCTGAACCTGGAACTTGTTTAGCCAAGCTGGTGGCTAGTATATGCCAGTGATTCCCACGGTGCCATATCCCCTCACGGTGCTGAGCTTGCTGGTGCATGTGACCACACTGGGATCTGAACTCAGGTCCTCATGCTTACATAGGAAGCTCTTTTACCCACAGAGCCATCTTGGACATAGGAGTCAGAGTCTGAGTGTCTAGAATGCTCTGGGGACTTAGGGGCCTTGGAGCACTCCACTCTGCAGAAGTTGAGGGGGGTCATGCTCTGGGTCACACACTGCCAGGTCACTCTACATGATTCCCTAGAAGCTCATGTCAGCTCTAAGAGGTATATCCTAGGAGGTATGCATCCTAGCCCAGGAAGGGTTGGGGCCTGACCGATCCAGGGTTCCTAGGGGTTGGCTTCCCGCTGTAAATTGAACTGAGCTTTGGTGTTTGTTTATGGCCGAGTCCTAAATGGAGATAAGCTGAAGTGACTGGAACCTGTAGGAGCCAGGAGTAGAGATCCTTCTGAGGATAAACCTTGAACTCTGAAGTAAATGGCAACACGAATCTGATTTTTGGAGTAGGGGAAGTGGGTACAGGGTTTCATGTAGCCTAGGTTGGCCTCAAACTCCCCATATAGCCAAGGATGACCCTCTTTCTCCGTCTCCAAGTACTGGGATTACAGGCATGATTTAGGAGTGCCAAGGATGGAAA